TATCAGTTCATCGGAGATTCTATGTTCAATTGACATAGACCTAGGTATGCCTCTTGTTTCYTATTATAGTTTAGTTCCTACTGATACTACTACCCTTGCTCCTAACACCATTGCAGATAACCTAAATCTCCCTATTGCACTACAAAAAGGGAAGAGAAAGTGTATTGCTTATTGCATCCCACATTGTCTTTCCTATAGTGGATTATTTCCTTCCTATCGGGCCTTCCTTTCCTCCCTCGACTTTGTGTCTATGCCCAAGAGTGTTAGTAAGGCACTCTCCAAACCTGAGTGGAAGATAACTATGTAGGAGGAAATGAAAGCATTGATTAAAAATTGGACATGGGAGATTGTGGATTTACCTGATGGCAAGGAGACAATTGGATGTAGATAGGTGTATATAGTGAAGTACAAGGCTAATGGAAGTATAGAAAGGTACAAGATGAGGCTAGTTGCAAAAGGGTACACCTAGACTTATGGCATGGATTACTTGGAGACTTTTTCACCAATGGCAAAGATGAGTTCAGTCTGGATTTTCCTATCACTAGCAGCTACGTACTCTTGGCCCCTCTTCCAACTTGATGTGAAGAATGCTTTTCTTAATGGAAACCTGCAAGAGGAGGTGTACATGGATCTTCCAGCTGTTTTTTACAGTGATGTGGCTAAAGGAAAGGTATGTAGATTAAAGAAGTCTTTATATGGTTTGAAGCAAGGTTCAAAATATCGATACAAGGCGATGCCGGTAGCACGTATCGGCTTGTATCAGTACTGTTTTTTTTTGTTTTTTATTTTTATTTTTTCAAATCTGGTTCAGAGGCGCCGGTCTAAGGCCAGTCTGCCYCTTGAACCACTTGCCGACCCAAAACACCCCTTATAGGGGCGTATTGGGAAGGCTCCGATATGATACGTATTGGCCGATATGGGCCGATACGTGACTATATTTTGATCCTTGGTTTGAAGCAATCACCCAGAGCATGGTTTGATAAATTTAGAAGTGCATTGATTGTATTTGTCTATAGTCAAACTCAATCTGATCATACATTGTTTGTGAAAATGAGGGGATCATTATTGTCAATAGTGATAGTGCATGTGGATGACATTGTAGTCATAGGAAATGATCTAAGTGAGATTGATACCTTGAAGAAGAACTTGCACAAAGAGTTTGGGATTAAGGATCTTGGGGAGCTGAAGTATTTTCTGGGCATTGAGGTGGCAAGGTCCAAGCATGGGATATTCATCTCATAGAGGAAGCATGTTTTGGACTTACTACAGGAGACAAGGAAATTTGGGGCAAGGGYAGTTGATACACTTATTGATCAGAACCACAAGATAAATGCTTCAAAAGGTGACCTAGTGAAGGATGTTGGAAGGTATCAATGATTGGTGGGCTGGTTGCTATACTTATATATGACACGACCAAATATCTCTTATGCAGTGAGTGTTGTGAGTCAATACATGCATGCCCTACAAGTTCAGCATTGGGAGGTAATCTAGTTTCATGGAAGAGTAAGAAATAATTTGTTGTAGCAATGTCAAGTGCGGAGGTTGGATACAGAGCCATGGCACATGGTGTTTTAGAGCTCCTCTAGGTCCGATCCATGTTAGGGGAGATTGGAGTTGAGGCCGAAGAACCTATGATGCTATACTGTAACAATCAAGCAACAATTAACATTGCCCACAACCCAGTTCGACATGATAGGACGAAGCATATAGAAGTTGATAAACACTTTATAAGGGAAAGGGTAACATCTGGAGAAGTGTGTTTACCATATGTTGCATTTGACTTGCGGCTTGTTGATGTTCTTACAAAAGGTGTTGCAAGAAGCAAGATGGAGCATCATCTACGTAACTTGGGAATGTGTGACATCTATTCCCAACTTGAGAGGGAGTGTTGAGTTCTGGGCTGATAACATTTGTTTTTATTTACAAAGCATATTTAGAGAATTATTGGGCCCAAGGCTCATTAGTTTATGTTTTATGCTAAGAGTGTTTACTTAACTTTTACAAGTAGCCGACTTACTAAGTGCATACTTGTCTTCGTATTCAGTTTTATTTATGAGTGGATAAGCTAATGAAAGTGATGGCCAGACCTGATTACCCTAATGTATAAAACTGAATGATAGGCAAATTAATCCAGGATTACCCTAATGTTAAGATATTACTTTCTTTTATCAATATATCCAAGAAAATATGTAATAGAATCTGTTCTTGAAAATATGAAGTGTAGAAATTTTTGAGATGTTTTGCTAGGCTCTACACATCATCTTAATGGTGGACTCTTTCCTAGAGGGAACAATATCATTACCCTTCATAAGACCATCTCAATGGCAACACCCTCAAGTTTTGAGCTATTGGTAGCCTATTGGAGAAAGATTGCTGTGGGTAGGCTCCACAGGTTGCTGAGTATCCTGCCAAAGTCTTATTTAAAAGGTATAAGTGAAAAAGAAAAACAAAAAGGGAAACAGCCCCAGCCATTTGATCTAGAGGCCTGTCCCCCAAGAGAAGCTTGYCTCTAAAATGCATAGCTTCCTTTAGGCCTCATATTTGCAAGCATTATGGTAAGTTGGCCAATTAGTGTGGATGCTTAAAGTGTTAACTTGGGAGGAATAATGGAGGAAAAGTTTTGACCTGCAACTAAATGGAAGAAGCGGTTTAGTTTCGAGTCTAAGTCATTCATCTTCGAAGAAGGCAATGGTGATGCTAGAAGGTAAGCTTGCATTGTGGTTTCAAGGATTCCTAGAAGTTGCTTAACAAATGAATCTCTCTACAGACTGGTATACTAGCAACGGAAGGTAAAAAAAGATTCCTTGTAAGATGGTAAGAAGAATGGAAAAGGGCAGCAATCAATATTGCCCCCAACTACTTCTTGCATCTTCATTGAGCAGACTACAGCTGAAAAAGAAAAAATGAAGATGCAAGAAGCAGTTGGGGGCAATATTGATTGCTGCCCTTTTCCATTCTTCTTACCATCTTACAAGGAAGCAGTTGGGGAGGAACATCTATCAAAAGGCATCAGTGATTTTAAAATATTCAGAATAGTGGGGTGAAAGAAAATGATATGGAATAGTTCTAAGGAAGATTAGGAGCGCAGATTTGTGATAACAGCAAAAAAGAAAAAGGATTAGGGACTGGAATGGTGTAGTGATATCATAAAGGAACAGTTGCATATAATTTCTAATATGATGGTGAATTGGTAACCCCCTTTGCTCGTTCCAAAGCCATTCTTGACATTTTGGGAAGTGAGGTTGACATCTCAGCAAAGGTGTTGATGGCAAAAGGATCGATAATGGTTGAAAAATGTAACCCTCTAAGCAACTTGAAAGAAGTGCTACTAGAGGAAAGGATTACCATACATATTATAGGTATGCCCTTTAATTTCTGGTCTAGAGAGGTTTTGGACGCATGGTTCACAATTTCAACATCGATGGATATTTAGCCTTGCAGAGATGGAGAAATACTGGAGATATTTCACTAATTTTGGTAAGACATTTGGAAAATCTAAATAATTAGGAAAGTATTTTAGAAACATGGAAAGTATTAACAGTCCTAATAACATTCCTTACATTACTACCCTTCAAGTTGGGCTTTAGATATCTATCATTCCCAACTTGGTACAGATATCCATATGTCAGGTACTTGAAACACCTTTGGGGAAAATGTCACCCAACTGATCCATAGAATTCACATAAGGAATGCAGACTTCACCAACTTCAGGTTTCTCACAAATGAAATGTTTGTCGACTTCAATGTGTTTTGTTCTTTCATGCATTACAGGATTGTGGGCAATATTGATTGCTGCCTTGTTGTCACAACACAATGACATTGGGTTGTGAATTTCAACTCCCAACTCCTTCAACATATTCTTTAGCCACAAAATTTCTGCAACTCCATGTGYCATGGCCCTATATTCTGATTCTACACTAGACCTAKCAACCACAGTTTGTTTCTTGCTCCTCCAAGTTACCAAGTTTCCTCCAACAAAGGTGCAATATCCTATAGTAAACTTCTTATCATCAATTGAGCCTGCCCAATCTACAACAATGAAGACTTCTACCTTCAAATGGCCATGCTTGGAAAAGAGGATACCTTTTCCAGGAAACCTTTCTAAGCTCTTTAGAACATGCTTTGCAATAGAAAGATGAGTAGTCCTGGGAGCATGCATATACTGGCTCAGCACCCCAACAACATAAGAAATATCAGGTCTCATCACGGACAAATACAACAATCTTCCAATAAGACTCTAGAACTGCCTTACATCAAAGAGGAGCTCACCACCTTCTTCACCAAGCTTATGATTACTATCAATTGGAGTATCAACAGGCTTAACTCCAAGCTTACCAGTGTCTTGTAGCAGATCTAGGATGTACTTCCTCTGAGAAATAAAKATACCTTTGTCTGATCCCGCAACATCAATACCAAGGAAGTACTTTAAAGGACCTAGATCTTTGATATCWAACTGAGCCCCCAAGAATTTCTTTAACTCCTATATCTCTGATTCCCAATTCCTCGTAACAACAATGTCATCCACATAAACTATTAGAATGACCACCTGGTTCCCTTTTCTCTTAACAAAGAGTATGATCATTCTCTGACACTGTCTAAAACCAACATGCTTGATTGCATTATTAAATATGTCAAACCAAGCCCTTGGAGATTGCTTTAGACCATACAATGACTTCAGGTGGCAAACCTTGCCTTTTTTTCCTCTGAAGCAAAACCTGGAGGCTGAACCATGTAGACCTCCTCCTTGAGGTCACCATTTAAGAAAGCATTTTTGACATCTAAATGGTGCAATCCCCAATCAAACACTACAGCAAGGGATAGGAGGGCACAAATGGAGTTTATTATCTATATGATGATGTTATTGTTAAATTGGTCCAATTCTTTTGCAATTTATCCTTTAAGCAAACACTCAACAATTTACTTCATAAAATAAATTTCCTCTAATATTAATTACTCAATGGGTACATCCATTATTAAAATAAATATTTGGTTGTTCATAGGTTGATGTTGCAATTATTGAAGTTGGCCTTGGGGGGACACTGGACTCAACTAATGTGGTATATATCTCTTCCTATGCAATCATCCAAATTGTTCTATGAAATTTTGTTTACTTTTTCTTATTGAATGTGGTATCATGTTTTTTATAAGATCTATGAAAAACACAACAGCAAAAGAACTCCTTTATTCTTCTCTCTATCCTTTTTCAATAACAGTGGAAATTGCATTATGAACCYTGCAGTCATGGAATTTGCTTTTAAATATGTACATATCAAAGAACCTATTGTGTGTGGCAGCACTTCTTTAGGGATGGATCATAAATTGCATTAGCAAATGAACCCTGCAGTCATTGGATTTGCTTTTAAATATGTACAGATCAAAGAACCTATTGTTTGTGGCATCACTTCTTTAGGGATGGATCATATGGAATCATTGGGTATGTGCCTTTTGTTTTTATGTCCTTGTTGAACATTCTTTGCCTCATTTGTTGATGAGTATTAGTTCTCATATGTGCTCCCAATAATCTATTATTAGGCTGATGCTTATTTTCTCATGTATTTTCTATCATGCAACTTAATTCTCCCAAGTTTCATTAGATTTTTCTTGAACCTCCCAATAAATCATTTCCATTAAAAGGCACTTTTAAAAAATTCTGGACAACCAGTGTGCATGAATTGCATTGAGATATTTAATGAACTAACATATATATGCAGGAAATACCCTTGGAGAAATTGCATCACACAAGGCTGGAATTTTTAAGGTGCAAAGCGAATCAGTATAACTGAAACTAGCACAAAAATAATTTTCTTTAGTAATGGATTATTTATTACAATAAGCTTTTTGGTTATCCAACTTGGCAGACTTTGTTTTCAAGTATTTTCTGAATTGGGTTGATTTCTTACCTGTTCTTGAAGCCTCAAATCCCAGCATTCACCGTACCCCAACTCTCAGAAGCAATGGATGTTCTTCAAGGAAGGGCATCTGAATTGATGGTAACTTCATTTGCCTGGACACTAAAGTAACTATAAAGCAATAATGCTACCATTATAAATATTTTGATATTCATTTACTTCTCTATCATCCACATTGATGTGCATAATTGCATTGAGTAGAAGTTGTTGRTAATTGATTCTGATATATGCTTTGTGAAGAAAAGTAGTAGAAGCTGAAGGTTTCAGCAAGAGAGAAAGAAAAAGAAGAAGAAAAGAGAGTGGGGTGTCGCCAGAATTGAATAGATCTGACCACCAACCCCTCTTGATTTATATACTTAAATAAAATAATGAAAGATGACAAAGATACCCTTAGTAGGGCGGCTACTTTAAGTAGCTGAACAGTCACAACTTAAAATTAACATAAAACTAATGGGCCTAAGGCCCAATAACTTCCTAACTGAATAACTTAAATAAAAATAAAACAAAGTTGGGCCAAATAACTTAAAATCGGCCCAAACTCAACACTCCCCCTCAAGTTGGGAGTAAATGTCACACATTCTCAATTTGTGTAGATCATGCTCCAGCTTGTTTCTTGCAACATGTTTTATAAGAACATCAATAAGCTGCAAATTAGAAGCAATGTATGGAAGACAAACTTCCCCTGAGGTCACCCTCTCTTAGAAATGTTTGTCCACTTCAATGTGCTTTGTCCTGTAATGCTGAACTGGGTTGTGGGCAATGTTAATTGCTGCCTGATTATCACAGTACAACATCATAGGTTCTTCTGCCTCAATACCAATTTCTCCTAACAAGGAAYGGATCTAGAGAAGCTCTGAAACTCCATGTGCCTTGGCTTTGTATTCAGCTTTTGCACTTGACCTTGCCACAACTGTCTGTTTCTTACTTTTCCACGAAACTAKATTGCCTCCAACAAGAGTGCAAACTCCTGATGTAGATCTCATGTCATCTAGACATCCTGGCCAATTAACATCTGTGTAAGCCTCTAGCTTCAACTAGCCACGGTCAGCAAATAGTATGCCTCTACCAGGGTGTCCCTTTAGATAAGCAAAAATCCTATCAACAACCTCCCAATGCTAGACTCGTGGGGCATGCGTGTATTGACTCCCCACACTCACTGCATAAGGGATGCTTGGTCTTGTCATACATAAATATAGCGGCCGCCCCACTAGTCTCTGATATCTCCCAATGTCCTTCACCAGCTCACCTTTTGATGCATTAATTCTGTGATTCTGATCAATAGGAGTACTAGTTGCCTTTGTTCCAAGTTTCCCTGTTTCTTGTAAAAGGTACAAAACATACCTCCTCTGAGAAATAAAAGTTCAATGCTTTGATCTTTCTACCTCAATGCCCAAAAAATACCTCRGCTCCCCAAGATCCTTAATTTCAAATTCTCTGTATAGATTCTTCTTCAAACTGTCAATCTCACTCAAGTCATTTCCTGTAACTACAATATCATCCACATAAACTGTCAGAACTGACACCAGGGACCCCCTTTGCTTTATAAACAAAGTATGGTTTAATTGAGTCTGAGTATAGCCAAAAGCAATCAAGGCTTTCCTGAACTTGTCAAGCCACACTCTGGGAGATTGTTTTATACCATAAAGAGACTTCTTTAATCTGCATATCTTCTCCTTTTCAACATCACTGTAGAAACCAATAGGAAGATCCATATATACTTCTTGCAGGTCCCCATTAAGAAAGGCATTTTTTACATCAAGTTGGAACAGGGGCCAAGAGTATGTAGCAGCAAGAGAGAGAAGGATACGAACAGAAGTCATTTTTGCAACTGGTGCAAAAGTCTCTAAGTAATCAATACCATAGGTTTGAGTGTACCCTTTTGCAACCAGTCTAGACTTATACCTTTCTATACTTCCATCTGTCTTGTATTTAACTGTATAAACCCATCTGCATCCAATAGTCTCCTTGCCCTCTAGTAGATCCACAATCTCCCATGTCTGTTTCTTAATTAAAGCTGCCATTTCTTCCTACATAGCTGCCTTCCACTCAGGTTTGGAGAGATCCTCACTAACACCCTTGGGTATAGACATAGAGTCGGGGGAAGAAAGGAAGGCTCGATAAGAAGGAGAAAGTCCACTGTAGGAGAGATACTGTGAGATACAATTAGCAGTACACTTTATCTTCTCTTTTCTAAGTGCAATAGGAAGGTCCAGGTCATTTGTAATGGGGTTAGTGGAATCAATAGGAACTTAAACATCAGAAGGATCAAGAGGAATACTTGAGTCAGTGTCAGCCGAATCTAGAGTCTTCGAGGAACCGATAGGAAGTGATGTGGTTTTTTTTTGCAGTGGAATCAACCTCCCTGTGAAGTCGTAGGTGCTGTCATGAGTAGCACTGAGACACAGGAGGGTCAAACACAGGAGTGGACACAAGAACTGGAACCGGAAGAGGAATAAATTGCTCATTTCCTTCCCCAAAACACTCCCCCTGAGAAGAACCCTTCGGAAAAAAGATGTGAACTCAAAAAAGGTGACATCCATAGTAACATATCGACTCCTAGAGACTGGGTCATAGCAACAATACCCTTTTTGATTTTCTGCATACCCAAGAAAAACATACTTCTTTGCCTTCGGATCTAGCTTCAAGCGGTAAGGACCAAGAACATAAGCAAAGCAAAYACAACCAAAAACCTTGAGAGGAATGTGGAACATCTCCCCCTCAAGAAAAAGGAGGATGAATGGGGTGCTAAATTCAAGAACACGAGAAGGCACCCTATTAATCAAAAAGGTTGCTGTGAGAACAACATCACCCTAAAATCGAACTGTAACAGTAAATGTGATCATCATGCTCCTCACAATCTCAACAATGTGTCTGTTCTTCCTTTCTACTACACCATTTTGCTGTGGGYTGTAAGAACAACTGCTATGATGAATTACTCCATACTCTAGTAGATATGAAGCAAGATTCTTCTCAAAATATTCCTTGGCATTGTCTGATCTGAACACTTTCACTCGTACCCCAAACTGTGTTAGCACCATCTGGTGAAACTGTCGAACCAAGGATGCTACCTCATCATGGGATCTCATCAAGTAAATCCAAGAGTACTGAGAAAAATCATCGACAAATAAAAGTATCGGTAGCCACCCATAGAAGGAACATGGTATGGTCCCCACACATCAATATGAATAACATCAAAAGCAGATGAACACCTTTTATTACTAGCTTTAAATGAATGTCTACAATGTTTTCCAAGCNCCCCTTCCCAGCAATGGGAACATGGGATCCATCGGCTGTGGAAACTCTTGTCTCTGCCAGAGCAGAATTGGTAAGAGGAGAAAATAGTGGAACTATGAGTCATATGCTTTGAGGCTCCGGAATCTATAATCCAAGGAGGTCCCTCCTTACCTATAGTAGAAACATAGTTTGCAGTGGCATGTGGACTACCTGTATGAGCAAAGGAAGTAGAATGTCCACCACCAGATCCACCTGTACACCTTGCACAATGAGGTTTCGGAAGTTTTACATTTCATCTATTTGTGATGGCCCTGTCCTGTTTTTCTATTCAAGGATGCTTGCCTGAAACTCTTCTGTATCCATTTCAAGGTTGGAGGTTGGAAGGCTTATCACTTATGTGGCCGGGGAAATTTTCTATGGAAGATATTTCCTGCAGCTATTATTTGGACAGTATGGAAGGAATGAAATCAAAGAATCTTTGGAAATAAATATAATGACAT